GTATTCCGAGCGACTTCCCTCCTCGTGGTCTCACTCCTCCAGCATTTCATTCAGTCTTACCTCCTGTCTGTCTTTACTCATGTCCTTCTCTCCTCCTGCTCCCCGTCTGTCTTTACTCATGTCCTTCTCTCCTCAATGTGCAATTATCCCTTTTTGTCTTTATTTGCACTTACTGCTCTCTCTGTTTTACCGTCCTCCTCATTTGGTCTGTTTCGTCTCCTTCTCTCCGCTCTCTCTCTCTCTTCCCAGATGAAATATTCATGTACATCCATAGTGGGAGAAGAGCAGCAGCAGCCAGTGCCACAGAATCCAATGCTTTCAAAGGCATCAGGCCTCTGAGCTGCACAAGAGACAGGGAGAGGAGAGTGGTGACAGAAAAGAGCAGGTGAGTGAGAGGATAGAGAGATAAACAGTGACAGAGTGGGAGGATGAGTGGGACACCGAGAAGCCCCTCCATTACATCGCTCACCAGGCAGCACATGGCGAAAGGCGCACATTGCCACCTCACCAGCTGTGGACTGGAAAATAGATACCTAAAAATACATAATTATTATTTAAGGCTTTGTTTCATAATGTAGGTGAAAAACTGCTTTTGATTTTGTTTAAATGTGTCACATGCTGCAGCAGTGGTGAAGCCACGGCAGCTTCTCTCTGAGCACGTTGTCACTGTCGGATGTCCAAACTCACTGAGCCGCAGAACACGCCAAGTTATTTTCCTCTGGGCGCTCTGCAATAGAACAGGTGGGAGCAGCTGCAGGTTCCAATGTGGCCGAGTTGAACAGTGGTGAAACCACAGGACCAACCAGAGGTGTTGTGGGTTGTCTGATTCTCTACAACTTGTTGTACTTTGGACTCCCACAGAGGAAAGACTCCAAGGATGTCAGGGAGTTAGAGGACTGTCTGGTAGTTATTTTGGTAGACTGTGGGTTTGATCCCTGTGAGTTGCAGTGAATTTTGAAGTCCAGTTTGCAAAGGACATAGTCAGAATCTCTGTGAACCAGAGTTCAAGTATCCCTGTTCAAATACCTGATTCAGAGCCATGTTCAGCTTTTAACTTAGCAAAAGAAGGGAGACCAGACTCTGCCAGTTCTGGCCTCGCTACACCAGCTACCTGTAGCTTCTAGACTTGGTTTCAAGTCCTCTAATTAAAGCCTGAAATCATTCAGGTTCAGTCTGTTTGGCTGACTCCTACACGAGCTTTAGGTCCTGACGGTCACAACTGCTTTCTCAGCATCATGCCTATAAATACACTGAAAATGTAGCTGGTGTGTGTTTGTACACAGCAAAAGTATCATTCCCACTACTGTAGTACAGTTTTGACACACTGACTCACTGGTCCACTGCCCACCGTTACACAAGCGCACACACAAAGTGCACATAACCGCTCTCTCTCTCTCTCTGTGTAAACACCTTCGGACATAAGCGCGAGCAGACACATCAGGTCTGTGAGGGATTCATCAGCCAACCCCGCTCGTCATCAACAGGCTTTCTGCTTCTCCTTCTGTGCCAGATGTGATCTTGAATTCACTTTGACCTGTTATTCTGAGTTTGCACAACAGAGTCGCCATCCACACGCCTGCCCACTGGATAGAGCGCACACACAATTAGGTGCCAATTTCTGGGTTGTTTCCAAGCAACCTACATGAAGCTGCAGCCGCTGAGAGAGAGACAGGGCTGCGAGCTTTGAAAGATGTTTTTGCTGCGTGAATGGGAGCGTTTGAGTGCTTTCTGTGCATGTGAATGGGAGAAAGGCAATAAAAGGAGAGAGATTATGAAGAAACTGAAAACAGCACAAATGTAAAACAGGTTATGTAAGTGGATCCTCACATCCTGTAGTGAGATCAAAGCAGAGGATGAGCAGAGCAGCTGTGAACAGTCTTTCCCTTTGCCGACCCTGATGCCACTGCTCCTTCCCAAGGAGTGTTTATAGTCGAGGGCTACACTTTAAGGAGGAGCCCAGAGTCTTGCTGTGTGTACTTATACTCTCTCTAGTACTGGGGACGTCTGTAAGTGAAGCAGTTATGTTAAATATGTATCAAAGCAGATCTGTTGCAGCAGGGTGGACTGATGATCCAGCACCCCACCTGATGGGTTTGTTCACAAATAGGCCTATACATCGATCAGCCATAACATTACGACCACCTGCCTAACACTGTGCACACACACCCCCACTCTGGGTGTGACATCTCCACTATAGCCGCTGATTCTTTATCTTCATAGAGACCAATGTTCAGTATTTCTCATCTTCAACCATTTTAACAAAGGTTCAAACAAATCTTTTGAAGAAGCTCAATGAAATTTAAACACTTAATCTACAGTAGGTCAACCTCGTCATCACTGAGTGTCCATGACCCTGTTTGTCCTTCCTTAGACCACTGTTGGTAGGTTCTAACCACTGCAAACCAGGAACACCCACCAAGACCTGCGGTGTGGGAGACACTCTGACCCAGTCCATCACGGTTTGGCCCTTGTCAAAGTCGCTCAGATCCTCATTCTGCTTCCAACATGTCTAATTCAAGGATCTAATGTTCCCTTGCTGCCTAATATACCCCGCACACTGACAGGTGTAATGAGATGATCACTGTGATTCACTTCACCTGCCAGCGGTCATAATGTTATGGCTGATTGGTGTATTTTGTGTCAACATTTTGCTAAAATTGTTGATTATTGTTGTGTAGGGAGATCAAAAATAAACATGGCTAAAAATAAATGCAGGGAGTGACACACTAACGTCGAGAGGAGCTAAATGATAAATCTACCAAATAAAGTGCTGTCCTGTCAAGAAAGCAGCTGATTTGTTCTTCAGTTACCTCACAGCAAAACAGTTGGTCAGTCTGAGCCAATAACTAACTTTCTAAGTACGTTAAAAAAGACGTGGCAGGTAATCTGGGTTAGCAGTTCGACAAGTCATCTCTCTGTATGTGTGTGTGTGTGTTTACACACTGTGAATTCTCCTGTGATGTGTAGCAGTTGTTTACATGTAATGAAACACTTCCAGAGCCTGCATCAAGCACCACAGCACATTACTGCGGTTTGGAAAACAACTGCTTATTCTACCGGGACCAACCACAACATACATAATACATCCTGTCTTTGAGCCAACTTGGCTAATTAACAGGAATATATAGTCTGCTAATTAGCAGTTTGTGAGATGAGGAGTTTTCAGCCCTGAGAGGACACAGAAGGGTTTGAAGTCAGCAGGAGAGATAACGGATGGTTGATAATAAAAAGTGGAAGGGGGAGAAGAGCAGCTTCAGTCAAAGACAAAAGGAGAAACTGTGCTAAGAAGAGGAGTGTTTGAGTGGATCTGAGCTCTGTTAGAATCCTGTCATTACTCTGCATGTCTCTGTGTGCGCACCTTTATGTGCTGCCCCTGTCAAACTGTTTATAACAGAGCATCTCTGTTCTTGACGTCCTTTATTTTTATCAAGTGCTTATTAAAAAATGAACACAAGTCGCATCCAGTGTCCTTTTGAAAGTTAAAACCTGGGCAGAATTTCTAAGTATGAAAAGAGAGAGAGACAGATTGTCGACCTGAGGGAAGGAATGAGAGAATAACACTGTGTTCAGATCTACTGAGTCAGTGACACTGTGTCACTGCACATGGTTGCTGTTGGCACCGCCGCAGTCGGCCACCCTGCATTGATCCAGACTAAAAGATTATTTGGCAGTAGATTGTCATTCCCTTCTACTTAACTGTGGGTCACACAGACACAGGTCACCACAACCTCACTGTGCCAGTCCTCTCACTTCTGTTTGGATTGGAGTGGCCGCATGATACCACACGGACACATAGTGCACAGAGCAGAACAACAAAAGGGGCAGAAACGCAGCCGACCACGGCATATCTCATTTACAGAGGAAGGGGAGCGGAGTAGAGAGAGAGGGGGAAGAGAAAATCTCTGGAAGGGAAAGAAATGTAAGTGATTTCTCCAGCCTGTGGGTCACAAGGGGAATGTGTGAGTAGCAAGTTGTTCAAACATGTTCTGATTTCCTTACTGGGCTTTTTAGAAGAGTTGATGTAAATGGTTATGTGACAGTTTGCTGCACCAGCGTCTCTCTGTCCACCGGTCTGTCTGTCCACTGGTCTGCCCGTCCACCCATCTGACACTGGTCTGTCCGTCCACCCGTCTGTTTGACACCATGGACACAGCAGTATTTAGCAGGGTCTCCTATATTCAGCACTGCATGTACAGTAATACATAGTGTAGATGACACTGTGTAGCAGGAGACCAGACCTCCTAATGTTCCCACGGCCTTCTGGATGAACTGATCCCTTAACTTTCAATGGAGTCACGGTTTCATTTGTCAAATCTGAGACGGTTAAAACGGTAAACATTACAACTGCTAAACATGTTAGTATTCTCTTTGTGAACATGTTCACATGTTGACTTCGGTTTAAACGACTCCAGCCTCGCATCGCTGCAGCCATGCCTGCGGTTTTGTTACCAGATACTGAATCTGCTGCGTTAACCCCTTTGTCAGATTTTTAGACTCTTTCCTTTCCCACATTAAAGGCTGTCGGTGAAGTTATTGACTATTACTGACACGATGAAGCAATGTTTTTATATGTGGGATCCCAGTTTGTTGGCTCTTGTGCACAAGAACGTGCACACGAATGCGCACACAGGCGACAAGGTACAGATTCCAGCCAGTGGTGTCACGAGTTCACTGAAAAACGGCAGGAACCTGTTTGTTTAGAAGAAAACTTCACACCTTTAGCTGCGCCTCCTGTGACCAGCACACCATTGGTTGCATCATGTATTTGTGCACCAGGCGCCTTTTAAAGGTGACATACTGTTAACTGGCACAAACCTTAATGTAGCCACCTGTATATTAGTTACCCTATAGTGAAGGTTTATGTGGTGTTTTTCCTGATTTGTCCAGTCGTGGATGTGTGTGTAAGTGAAAGTGTTTCACCATGATCAGCGTTGAAGTGTTGGCTCCACATTCTGTTTGGATTTTAAATATCCCTCTGTTGTTGCGTCTCTTTCCTCCAGCATGGTAAGGCAGAACCTGGGCCGATCCACTCGCGCCATCTATCTGACTGTGGCGTGTTTGTCCCTCGCTCTCCATCTCCTTCTGGCAATTTTTTGTCTCTCTGTCCTCCAGACAGCCTGCGTCCTTCCCACCTCCTCCTCTTCCTCCTCTGCATTCATACCAAGAACCGACACCCAGCACCGTCGGTCTGTGCTCCACTCCTCCTCTTCTTCAGATGCCTCCTCCTCACATAAACCTGCAGTGAGCCCCCAGAATGAGGAGCACCACAAACTGGATGCCAACACATTACAGCAGAGGGGGAAACACTCACCAAGCGAGGCCCCTGAGGGGGAAAGGAAACTGATCGGAGCTGGAAAAGTGATTCCTGAGGGTCGTTCTAAGTTAGAGGCATTGTTCAAACACCCGCTGTACAACCTGCCATACCCAGAGCTGCAAGAAGATGATTGGCTGCTGAGGGTGAAGACAAATGAAGATGCAAAGGATTCAGGAAGTGAGGAAGAGGAGAGGGAAGACACCAGTGACAGTCAGTGGTGAGTGACACAGAGGGAGAAGATCCATCAGTCTTTATGTAAAGTAAAAACAACAAGTGCTCTGGAAAAGACACCCTGCATCTCTGTTAAACGTTCTCTAGATGATCCATTAACTCTGGTTTGTGAAGAAGAAGTTATTCACAAGTTTGAAAAGTTTGGGATTCACTAAATTCTTGCATCAAAATCTGAAAAAATCCTCTGATGTTGTGGAAGTTGTGGTGAGCCTGTTTTCAGCCAAACTAGCAGCCGTGCACAGCAGTGTCGGTTGCGCCACCACTTTGGTCAAGACTGTAATAGGTCAGCAACAGCTGGACAGATTTGCATGACGTTCAGGGTTCAGGGTGCCCAGAGGATGAAGCCTACTGACTCTGGTGATCCCCTGACTTTTCCTCTGGCACTGTCTTTAATTTTTAACTCCAATATTTAAATTTACTGTTTGACCAATATCTCAGCTGCAGTGGAACTTTAATGTATATTCCTCATTACACACACTACCAGTTTGTGTAATATCTAAAAGTCAACCTGAAACCAAATCTCTAAGCTTTAGTCTGACTGTGTATCACCTCCTCTTCCTCGCCTTAAGGCAGAGTTCCAGTCAGGAGGAAGGCTACGACAAACTCACCTGGACGAGCGACATGGAGACCCATCCTCCCTGGCTGCGGTTCCACCTGGGCATCTCGCGCTGGGAGCTGTACAACAGGAAGGATCCCAACCTGGCCCAGCTGACTCAGTACCTGGCAACACAGCGTATCCTCGGGGCTGGTGAGCAAAAGTGGGGTTGGGGGGCAGGGAAAGACACCACAGACACCACAGGCGAAGACGTAGCGCTGCATGAAACACACGGTGATGAAGATGGAGCATTACCACAGATTTACTCACGCTCCCTTTTACTGTATCTTTGTTCCTCAAATCCTGGCACATGTGTGTGTGATAAAATAGAAAACATACTGCTGATTTTATGCTACATATACATATTCTGCCAACACATGCACAACCCACACATGTGACAGGAACAAATCTTTTCCCATATGAAAGCTCTGGATGCAGGCTTTGACTACAGTCAGGTATTTCTGAGAGCTGCTTTGCTCAGTACGCCAAGACCGAATCAAGAAACTGACCCAGTGTTTAATCTGAATTGTCCCAGAGGTCCTACACTTTAATTTGACTGATCATTCAGATTCCTCTTGATTAAACACAGTTATAAAGTCACTGCATGCTGTGTTCTCATTCTGAGTTTAATCCCTTCATATAAAAAGGCTATGAGAGAGCCAGAGGCAGTGCGGGCTGTTCACTGAAGGTTTCACAGTAAACTGTGCCAAAGTTCACACGTAGAGCAGGTGAGGAACATGTCTACGTACTCAAACACACATAAGATGACAAATCCTTACAGGCACACGATGATGTATGGAAATGAAAGGCAAAAAGGATTCAGCAAACTGTTTGATGAGCCACTTTTAGTTTGAAGGAGGTGGGAGAGCAGAGAGGAGGCGTGTGTACTGGGCTGAACCCCAACTTTTTAAACCATTTACAGTGTTTACAAGCACTGGTGCTTACATACAAAATGAGCAAGAAGTGAAGAGCGATCATAAAAATCCAGTGTAAACACCCAGATGTACAACAGATAGCAATAAATTGATGGTACTAATAAATGTGTTCTGTGCAGGCAGAGCCTGATAGTGCTTGAATCTGCGTATGATACAATAGGTGTTTCTTATGATGGATTATAAATAATATAATGTGAGTATATCAGTTTGCATTATTGATGTGCTCTACATGTCCCCTTTCTTCCAGTTCAGAAGACAGGCGGCACCCAGCTCAAACTGCTCCTGTCGTTCCCAAACTATGGACAAGCTCTGCTCAAACCCATGAAGTAGGACCACAGTGCTCTGCTACTCGCTGACTGGTGACGTTCAGACCAACAGACCCGCTTTGACCATGTTTAGTTTTATAAGACGGTGCATTTGTGTGTCCATGTGTGTTTTCGTTGCACAGACAGTCCCGAGATGCAGAGACGGATGTAAACCTCTTCTACTTCTCAGACTTTGAGAGACACAATGCAGAGATCGCTGCCTTTCACCTCGACAGGTACAGATGGTTGTTCACAGGTGTTGTGCGGAGCAGACAGACCATTCACACACACACTCTCATTTTCTGTCTGTTTTTCTCATTACTGTGGTTTACTACCTTGTCCTGTCTCCATCTCAGGCTGCTGGGCTTCAACAGGATTCCTCCAGTGGTCGGCCGACTCATCAATGTCACCGCAGAGATCAGAGAGATCACCACTGACCCCAGACTGTCTAGGACCTTCTTCACTTCCCCTGGTATGAGAGTGCATGTGGACTGTATCCTTGTTTGCATACATTTCTTGCAGCATGTGCACCTGCACACAGCAGTGCCTGTTCTGTACTAACACTCGGCCTGTCTCTGTGTGGCACTGTAGTGGGTAACGTCTGTTTCTATGGCCAGTGTGAGTACTACTGTTCAACAGAGCACCCCGTGTGCGGTCAGCCACATGCACTGGAGGTTTCCCTGGCTGCCATGCTAACGGACCTCAGCCTCGCTCCCCGCAGGTCCTGGAGGTCGCCATGGAGACGATCCTACAGCCGCTCCAAGCTTGCACCGTGGGTACAGAGTCTGTATCGATGAAGCAGGCTCATCTCTATCTCAAGTTAAATGAAATGTGTCACAAATCATAGTGGGGTTATTTCATAATTACTTTGTTTTTCTAATGGTCACCATTAGGTAACCACTAAAGTTTTAACTGGTACTTAATGCTGGTAGGGTTTACATGTCAGGGAAGTGTATGTGAAATCCTGAGTGTGCACTGCCATCCAGTGGTCACAACATGGAACTGCAGCAACCTTAGCATTTGTCAGTGTCATCAATGTTGATGGCAATACATAGAATTGTCACCGACTTGACCTGACCTAAATTTGGACCTGATTGTCTTGCGTCTGGTCACAGAAGGATAAAAACTTCCATAGAGAGGAAGTATGGATGTCTAGTATGAGCAGCATCACCAGTGACACTCAGTGAGGTAGAACAGGAGGAAATGAACTTTGGCCATAAGTATATCCATGTTGAAATGAATGTAAAAAGGTTTAGTCTTAATGTTTGACTGCTTTATACAGAAGAGGACTGGGGCCACTGCATAAAATGTATTTGAATTCTGACTTTTTCTTGGAATTCAGAGATTAAAGTCAGAATTCAAATACATTTTATGCAGTGGCCCCAGTCCACTAGTCCATTAAGACTAAACCTTTTTACATTCATTTCAACATAGATATACTTATGGCCAAAGTTCATTTCCTCCTGTTCTACCTCACTGAGTGTCACTGTTTCCAGGTGGGAGAAGGACCCGTCCTACTGCGACAAGGTGAAGCAGACGCCTCCGTACAGCCACGGCACCAGACTGGTGGATCTCATCGACATGGCTGTGCTGGACTTCCTCATGGGTCAGTCTCAGCACCTCAATCTCAAAACTGGCCATCAGTCAGTCTGAAACGTACATGCGGTGTAAAACTTCCTCCCTTTCTGCTTATAGAGGGGAAGCATCCAAAATATATCCGTGACAACAGCAAATGTAAAAACTGCTAAATTAACAAGCGAGACTTAGATATTATCATTTAAATACAGTCTTGATGTTCTCATGAATTTCCAGTTCTAGACATTATTTAGAAATATGTGCCATTATAGTTTTTAAATAATGTTTAATCCCATGAAACATGGATGATTTTTATTCGAAGGCAACATGGACAGACATCACTACGAGACGTTCGAGAAGTTTGGCAACGAGACTTTCCTGCTGCATCTGGATAACGGACGGGGGTGAGGGCAGTGAACATCTGTCAGTTCAACTTGAAGATATTGTTACAGTAGAAGTAACAGCTACACTGAAACAGCTCCTGCCTGTCAGACAAACATGCAACACAAGATTCTACACAGCAGCCAATGACAGCATCTGTTTCAGGTGTTAATCGTTGTGGTCACATTGGGGTTTTGTTGCTTCTCACGACTTAAATGCAGCTGATGTCTTCCAGGTTTGGGCGTCACACTCGGGATGAGCCGTCCATTCTAGCTGCTTTGCAACAGTGTTGCAGGTAAAACACGACAACACAAAGTGACTTGCACACTTAAAAGCGAAGGGAGAAACAAACTGCCAGAAAGTTACTAAAGGACCCATCTGGAAGCCCCTTTAGGATCTCCTCCTCTACCCTGGTGCATTTCTTTTCACAGGATCCGTCGCTCCACCCTCCTCCGCCTGCGCCTCTTGTCCCTCCCTGGCTTCCGTCTGAGTGACGGGATGCGGGAGTCTCTGGCCCAGGATCCTCTGGCAGCTGTGGCCCCCCTTCTCTCTGAACCACACCTGTCTGCTCTGGACCGGCGCCTCGCCACCATCCTGAAGGTGGTGCAGGCCTGTCAGGATCAGCACAACGACGTCATTTACAATGACCTGATCAACAAACTGACTGAGGAAAAGGAAACTCAATAAATTATACTTCCATCTCATGTATGCATAATGTTTTGACACAGTAGAAGGAAGTGAGGCATCCTAACAGGTGCCAAAAGATTTGTGTGTAGGCTATTCAAGTGTGAATATGAGCATTTAACGTAATATCCAGTCCAGCCACCCTGCGGAGGAAGCTCATTTCGGCCCCCTGTATCCAGAATCTTGCCATTTCAGTCATGACCCAAAGTTCATGACCACAGGTGAGAGTCAGAACGTAGATTGACCAGTAAATCCAGAGCTTCGCCTTACAGCTCAGCTCCTTCTTCACCACAATGGACCGGTACATCGACCACATTACTACAGAAGCTGCACCGATCCGCCTGTCAATCTCCGGTTCCATCCTTCCCTCACTCGTGAACAAGACCCCAAGATACTTGAACTTCTCCACTTGAGGCAGGAACTCTCCACCAACCTGAAGGGAACAAGCCACCCTTTTCCAACTGAGAACCATGGCCTCTGACTTGGAGGTGCTGATTGAAACAAATTCCTTGTGTGTGACATACTTGTCCAAATAAAGATGATTATGATTATATAAAAAGGTTTGATGATCAGTTCAAAGTATACTGACTCCATAAAACATCTGGATCGCCTGCTCCATGAACGTAAAACGTCAATCGAGATGATTAACTTCAGTCATGAAGGGATAATGTTGAGACCATTTAAACCTAAAGATCCCCTCCTGACATGTTCCAAAGTCATACTCTGCTCTAATTTGTCTTATTGTTTCCCCCAAAACCCTAGTTAAAATATTACTAAAATGACAGCTCCTTGTTATCTGTTGTTGAATAACCCACAGATATGTGACGTACCAATAGTTTTTCTTTTCAGTTCCTTAAAAACTGGACACAAGACACCGCACCATGATGTCACAAAATCATGCAAAATGAGATTTAATGTAAAAGGTGCACAGAGACTTTTTCAGTAGAACAAAGAGTCTTGGTATTAAACCATACACTTGCGCCAATGAGCACAGTGAATTGTGCTAAAATTAGTGAAACACTATCTTATATGTGAATCCCTCCCTGGGTGAGTCTGTGCGATGTCTCTGGACTCGGGATCCAGGAGGAAAACCGCAGCTGTGACTCACCAAGGAAAAATAGTTACTTTCGCTTTCCAAGCGTCACTGGAGGGTGATGAACTGATAAAAACTTTGCGGGATTAACAAGAGAAACTCCGCTCAGGCATGGAGGGACCTTCCACCCGTGTGTAAATCTGACATTTGTTGATGTTTTTGGTTTCTGACTTAGGCCTAATACTGTAAACATCTTGTCGCTCATTAGTGGTTTGACTTTGCTCAACTGGCTTCTGGGGCCTAAACTGGGAGCCTACGCATTTGGAGCAGCTGTGATCTCGCTGGCCGGTTTTTATTACACACCAACCACTGATGGACCCGTTAGGTTTCCTGAAAGCTAAGAAGCTGCTGCAGTTTCTCCGCCAACGCAAAAATCAAATATCCCGCATGGAGAACCCGCAAACCTTCCTCCGCCTGCTCAGGGATTACGACCTGCTCCCAGAAGGCGGCTACAAGGTGAGGAACTGGGGTGGGACGTTATGCATTTATTTTAAATAATCTAAACAACCACCAGAATGCTTCGTATAAGGACTATGCTAATAAAAGCTGCATTTAACTCCTCAGGTACAGATGTCTTAAGGAAAACTGGATTCCACTTCATTCCTGTGAAATCAAAGTTGCATTGACCTACTTTCACATACTGTTTATAGTCAAAATATTATTACATCAGCTTTAAAATCTGAATTATTGTTGTTTTTAATACGAATTGGCAGTTAACCAGCCTTTACATAAAGTAATATACGTAATAAACATACATCCTTTACTAGCTTTCATTGCAGCTGATTTACACTACATTAACGTTACCGGCTTCTGTTGGCTCCACTCTGGACGCATAGAGTGGATGCTTTCTGCTGAGATGATGAAGCATTGACGTTGTGCTACTGTAGTAGGCTATTTCACTTCAGATGTGTGTGGCCTGTTGCCACCAGCTCACTGTAGCTGCTCCTTCGTTCCTTTACTCCCTTTCAAAAATTAAAAGTGCTGAAAATGACACATTTCATTTCACATGTGAAGGAAGAGGAGAGGCCAGTGACGAAGAGAAAGAAGACTGTGTGCAGTGATGAGGAGGAACAGCCTGGTCCATCATCTCAGCTGAATCCAGGTCAGAGGAAAAAGCCCAAGAACATAACCATCTGTAAGCCACCTGCTTTACTTCTGTAAATATGACTAAATATAACATAATAGCTCCAAAGTGAACCATCACTCTTATCAGTCAGTATAAATAACAGGGCAGGTTTTTACGCTGTAGCTGGTGATGCTTTGTGTCAAAAACAAGATGCTAAATGAGCAGAACATCTGAATCAGAACAAAGAACCTTAAATATATGTTTGAATTTCCCAGCTTCTCCCTTGAAGAAAGGAGAGAGATCCCAGCTGCCTGTGACCTGTGGAGACAAGAAGGGGACGCTGTACAGAGACAGAATGGCCAAAGGTCAGGGAGACAAAGTGAAGTGACTGGAAAATAACTAATCCCATCATTGTCTGAACTAATTAGGG